ACGTACTTAAACATACATATGAAAATGTATATTTGAATGAAATATATATATATATATATATATATATATATATATATATATATATATATATATATATATATATATATATATATATATATATATATATACATATATATATATATATATATATATATATATATATATATATATATATATATATATATATATATATATATATATATGTATGTATGTATATACATATATGTATATACATATATATATATATATATATATATATATATATATATATATATATATATATATATATATATATATATATATATATATATATATATATATATATATATATATATATATATATATATATATATATATATATGTATATATATATATATATATATATATATATATATATATATATATATATATATATATATATATATATATATACATATGTATGTATATGTGTGCATGTATGTATATAAGGAATAAAGGAGAGGGAAAATCAATGATAATAACTGCTCTTCATTAACTCAGAAATACAGAGATTGTGACAGTGAGTGAGGTTCGACTTCACACTCAGCTAAGAGTGAGGACAGTAGCTTCAGATTTATTCTCCTTTCACCTCAAAAGGATTTTTATTTTATTTTATCATTAATGTTGATTTATGGCATTGGGTTTATGTACAGTTTATGATAAAGTCTATATTTGCTTGTCTCTTTCTAATCGAATGTATATGTTTTTTTTTTCTTTTTATTATTATATCTTAGTTTCGACTGTTATTCCATGGCTAAATCCAGGGTTATATTATAGTGTAAAGTATATTCCTTAAAAGATACTAAATTCTAGTCATATTTGCGTATCTCACTAACTCATTTTAAGTTTCAGAATAAAGAGAATAACATTGATTTTACATGCTTACGGATGTGAAGTACAAATTCGTTAAAATAAGTATTTACATTTAACATTTTCTTTTTAACATATAGGTCTCAACTATTCTGCCTTGCCAAAGAGTGTGTTGCAGGCGAAGTATGTCAAAGAAGTTTCTTACAGAAAATAATAAAAAAAAGATTAAGAATAGCATCTATTCTTGTACTTTGGTAACACCTAATAAAATACAATGTTGTGTTCTCCTTCGTGTTTTAATACAGTACCTGCTGTTGGTGAATATTTGGGAATGGTTGAGAGAATAGTGATTGTAATATTAACAAAACCTATGATGAAATATAAAAACTAGTTGGCGTTAAGATATCAACAGTTCTGATTAGAATTAAATAAATAAGGTGATTATAATTATAAGAATAATGATAATTACATCGACATTAAACATAATAATAATGAAAAGTCTTGATAATGATGAAAATAATGGTGATAATAATGTTATTGTTACAATCAAAGGAAAACTGTAATGATGATAAACGGGAACAACATTAATATAATAATAATTCCTCTGACGCTACGATCACTACAAATATTAGAAATGATAATTACATCAAATAATCAAAAAGGAAAACCAATTATCAAATAAGAACAAAAGATAAGATCTTAAAAAGAGAGAAAAGAATAGGGTAGCATAAAGATAAAGAGGTAAAATAAAAGGAGAAATTGCGCAAAGCTAGAAAAAAAGAAGCAATATATTCATATTTAGAGAAGAAATCATGATGCTTTATACGGTATAATAAAATACATATACCTTTTTTTTCCTCCGCCTCTCCTATCTACAATAAAATTCGTCTTTCTAGGTCAATACGTGACTTTTTTTTTTTTTTTTTTTTTTTTAGACAATCACGTGAGAATGTCCTATTCATATTAATAAAAACCAAAACATTAGTTAAAAGAAACGCCCTGAGTAATATAAATAGCATTGATAATATTAAACGTCATGATGATGAAAATGATGATGACGATGATGACGATGATGATAATGATAAAAATAATGACAATTCCGATAACAACAACAACAATATGAAGAGTAGTTATGGTAATAAGGGTAATGAAAAAAAAACAAAAAAAAAACAAACTTATTAGTCATGATAATAACTATGATGACGATAGTAATGATAATATTAATGATGACTACCGGGAATGGTCTTAATGAAAATGAGTTATGATGACTAAAACAATAATGAAAAATCACCAATAACCGAAACATAATAACAGACAAATTATGTAGCATTAGTACAACCATTAATAGACTGCCAGTAATGAAAGAGTAGCAATATTATTACTTTATTGTTGTAATATCGATAATTAAATGCACTTATTATTGTACTAGTGGTGAATCAGGCCTGAAATTGGCTGAGCACATGAAATTAGACCTGGAAGTGTGTTTGAATTAAAAGTGATTGCTCATCATTCAGGTCATTAGATGGCAATTGGTCCAGTGTTCCGTTGTCTTATCTATCTATCTATTTGTGTATATTTGCACAATCTCACACACACACACACATGCGCGCGTGCACGAACGCACGCACGCACGCACGCACACACACACACACACACACACACACACACACAC